GACTCTTAGGGAGCAAAAGGAAAGAGGCCAGGAGGGGGTACCACAGTTGCTGCCGTCAGCCAAATCCTGGGAAACCCAGTGCCTGCTGCTTTAGCAGCCTTGGGGCTCCAGCCCTGGCTCCAGCAGCCCAATGCTGGCCACCCCTTTTCCCCCCATCCCACACAACCACTAAGCTCTTTGCTGGGAGAGACCCCTCCGCACCTTGGGGAGCCCCCACACCCGTGGGAGTCACACCCCACACGCTCCCAAGCCCCTTCCCATGGTAGGCACTGACCTCTCCAAGCAGAGAGGGGGCTCGTCGTTCACTGCTCCACCGAGCCCGCTGGAAGCGCCGCCACCGCTCTCTGCCTCAGTGTCCTCCGCCCCACACGCTCCCTGGGATTTATATCGGCTTTTTATTAATTAAGTGCTGCAGCCACATGACTCCACTAACTACCAGGTAGGTGGGATTCTCTGGAAAACGGGCTTTGTCTGGATGGAGAGCAGCCGCCGGGGCAATGTGCGGGAGGGGGAACTCCTGCCCTGTGCCCCGCACAGCCGTGGGAGGGACAGCTCCCTGCTACCCCCAAACCCCCAGGTGTCTTGGAAGTGATCCCCACCGCCCTTCCAGACTGCTTCCCTTTCCAGCCACGCCTGAGAAGCACCAAGGCTGCAACTTGAGGGCATCTCTTAGTTCCCAAATAGAGAATTATCAGGGCTACGGGCTCCTGGCCAAAAACATGCCAAGCTCGACTGGTTTTCAAAGGGAATGTTGCCTATCCATATCTCCTGGCAAGCGTCCAGTCATAGTCCAGAGCCTCCAGCAGTCCTCCAGCTTCTGACCACTGGCCATCTGCAGATTCTCCGGGCTGTGTCTCTCATTCATAATTCCTTTGGAAAACCTGCAGCTCCCCAGAGCCAGGCTTTTTTCGGGAATGCTCATGGCCTTGAGTGACTTCAGTGCTGCAAGGAAATGGGAGGATAAGACATAGGTTCAGTGGGCTGTGACATTCCCAGCAAGGAAGGCTGACAGCCCAGGCTCTGCCCTCACCAGGCTGCTCGTGGATGGGGGGGACCCCCCAGGCCTCCCAGCAGGTCCCCAGTAGAGCATGAGCCACCACTCCTGGTTGCAGCACCAGCCCTGGGGCTCTTCGCAGGCCCCCTCTGCCCCTCACACTCCCTGTCCCAACATAATCTGATTCCTGCTGCATTTGAGGGACGGGCTGAGCGAGTGTGGGACCAGCGAGAAGCTCGACTGCCGTGTCCCATCTCCTCTGGCTGCTGGAAACACTCAGCACCCGCCTGGGTCCCCAGTGCACGACACCCAGTCAGGACCCCCCCAGCACAGCACCCGGGTGTCTCCTGCACCCACGTGCCTGGGTGAAGGCTCATCTTGGGCTAGAGGCAGCTTTGGCAGCCCTTCCCATTCCCATCCCCGAGGCCCAGGTGGGTGCCGAGTGCCCCATCCATCCCCAGCTCCTCCATCCCCAGCCCTGGGGGCTCCGGGTCCCCAGCCCTGCTGTCCCCGTCCCCGCTGACGCCACCGCCGCTCGGGGCCTCGGCCCGGCTCATTAGGGCCTGTTTGCA